TCTACCAAACCCTGTGGGCACACAGAAGACGCCGGCAGTGCCGCCATCAGAGAGCAGAAGAAGCGTCATCCTGCTCTTCATCAGCACACACCACTTTCAATGTGCCAGCCATTGTGGTGGAGGATGTACGAGGCAAAAGGAGGTCTTCACTGGACGGCTCCGAGTCAGCCAAGACCTCCTTGCAGATGACCAACCTCATAAGCGCCATTGTCTTCCTGTATGACACGCTCACTGGGGTGCCGATCTTGGTAAGCATCCAGCTCTCCCTCTCCCATCAGAGTCTGCAGTTAAGCCAGATTTGCTTTCCTCTCAAGTTTTAGAGAAGCGTCTCTCCTGTCCCACCAGCCGCAGAACTGCCGCATCTGAATCTGTGTTATTCTGAGCGGTGGTTTTAAAAAGATTGCAGTAATTCTCTCATCCTTCCGCAGCAGCATTTTCTTAAGTCTAAGCCTGGGGAATACACACCACACAGCTAAAAACACTATGCAAGTTTTAAGTGGCTAAGAGGAGAGGAAATTATTCTGCAAAGTTACTTGTAAAAACAATGAGATTTCTATTTCTCTGGTTTGCTTCTGGAGAACTGATACACAAGCTTTAACAGCTGATGCATCCAGTTGTCTTTTTCCTTCTGCTCGTATGGCTGTAGGCAGCATTCAGGTTTTGGCTAGCTGGTCGATTCTGTGCAAAATTGGAGAGCTAGAGAAGTTCTCGAAAAGAACCCTTAAAAGAGGAGAGGCTGAGTCACAGATTATTATTTTCCCAGTGGCTGTGTCCTTTGTTAGCACCTATTTAGCTCCAGCTGGTAATGAGCACAGGAAGAAAGGATGCTAGCACCAGGTCTCATGTTAGAGATATGACAGCTTGGAATATGGTCCAGCAAACCTGGGGCAAGACCCCAGGAGCAGTTTTTCAAAGGGACACAGGGTAATTGCTTGATGAATCCTTTAGAGACAGATTATGTTCTGCTACAGAATTGATTCGTGTTACCTTTCTCCCTTGATCCCTGCTTCTGTCTCCTTGGCATTGTTGTTTTTTCTTACCTTAAAGGTCGTGAGCTTTTTCAGCCTGCGCTATGATACGGCCCCCACCTGGATGGTTCTGGCTGTGCTCTGGTGTTCCATGGTGCAGACCTTGCTGCTCCCCTCTTTCATCTGGTCCTGCGAGCGCTACCGAGCAGATCTCCGCACCGTGTGGGAGCAGTGCGTGGCTATCATGTCTGAGGAAGACACAGAGGATGGTAAGCTCCTCACCAACCCACAGTCACCTTTCTTCACTAACCACCTCCCCAAAAGGCTATAGAGGAAAGAGGGGATCTTCGGGAAAAGGATTTTGTGGTGTTGCGGGTGGCTCAGTGACATTCATGTTACAGCTTGGAGTCAGCAATCACAAGAAAATTTATTCTGCAGAATGCTCTGCCACTCACTTGCAGGCTTAGGACTAGCATCCAGGAAGCATTAGTGCAGCATCCTCCTCACTAGTTGAAAGCATGGATACATTGTGTGTGGTTGCCAAACCACAACCAGAGCGACATGCTGGGTCTCAGCCCAACTTGCTGATCCAAAGGTCCAAGACCTGACAGTGAGCGATGCAAAGGTGAGACAGAAGAAATAGGGCATTGTCTGGGTGCTTTAGTGCTGCTGCAAGCAGAATGACAAGGTCCTTGTCCAGAGGTGAGCCCTGAGGGCTGCAAGTAGGGCAGCACCAGTCAGATAAGCATTAGGATGGTGTCCAGGCTCCCTGATAATGCTTCTCTTCTGACCAAAAAGTGTTGACTGCCGTTCTTGTCTTTGCCAACAGATGGTGCGTGTGATGATTATGGTGATGGCAGGATCTGCAAAGTGAGATTCGATGCGAATGGCGCTGCAGCTGCAAAGCGGGACTCCCGGGACATCAAGCTGCTGCCCATGCACCACATGTTGTTGCCCCAGGAAAAGGTGCACTACCTGCAGGTGAGCCAAGAGCTAGCGGGGCAGCCCCACAACCCACTTCCTTCTCTGTCAGTTTCCCACGCCTCTGTGTCCTCTTGACTCTCTTCTCTGAGAAAACCTCAGCTACTCCCTTCCTGTTCTGACTCTTCAAGTCTTCCATCACCTGCCCCCTTCTCTGTTTTCCAGGTCCCTATCTCACGGAGAATGTCACATGATGAGACTAACATCTTCTCCGCCCACCGCTCTGCTCCATCCTTCCTACACAAGTGGTCTTCATCTGACGACATCCGCATTTCCACCCCCCGCAAGCCTGGGGGCCCTGGTTTCTTGCCTCCCCAGCTGCATGACTACCAGCACCGCCGGCGGCCCCCAGAAGATGAGCTGACGACTCTACGGCAATTTTTGGAGGGGGGGCTGTTGCCCCGGGGCTCCAGCTCCAGCGCCTGCTTCTTCCGAGATGAGATCACCACGTTCATCGACGAGACGCCACAACCCACCCCAGCCTGCAGCCCACGGCACTCCCGTCTCCTGCTCGCATCACGCCGCGACCGCCGCCTCTCCCTCGGCAGCAGGGAGGAAGAGAATTCCGACCGGCCACGGCGCTGCTCCGTGCTTGGCAATGAAGTCTGGCGTCTGCAGGACGGAGAGCAGGCGCCATGTGAAAGGACCCTAGAGGCCTGCGAGCCACAGACCTTCCAGGACCCCAAACTATGAGAGACAGCATCAAAAACATTCAGTGCCATCACAGTTTTTAAATAAAACTTCAAGCGTTCCCTTTGTCCCGGGACCCCAATCACTAATTTGCATTCTCATCTTTCTCACCAGCAGGCAGAAAACACGGCACCCCGTGCTGGTGGGGGAAAAAGAAGTGGGACAGATCCGCAGAAGGGAGCACAACGGACGGACGGACAGACAGCCTGTGCCTGCTCTCAGGTTACAAACACATCCACCGCTGCCACCGCCACTTGGCACCCTTGCCAGTCCCGTCCCTTTGTGAACTCCACCCTCGCATCCGCTCTGCCCTAAGAGACAAGACAGGCGCAGAATGGTATTAAAATTCTATATTTGGAGTGTCAATCGTGTGTCTGTTTTTAAAATACTATATTAGTAATAATTTTGTTTCCATAGAAACAAAATGATTGGCCCGATGTTTAATGAAGCTTCACAGGCTTCTGGAAGGGAAATGCAGAATGTGCGAGGCTCCTTTCCTCCCTCTTCATCCTTTCTTGTCAGTTCCTCTGAAAGGCAGCAGATGCTTAGCAGCTCAGGAAAGGGAATGATGCCCTTAGAGGAGTTGTCATGGGAGACTGGGTGAAAGGTCTTCTGTCCATTTCAGACGTGGTGCTAAGCAGGAGAGGCCTTGGGTTTCTAACATTGCTCAGCAAAAGGTTTTGCTTTGAGGCAACTTCAGGCTTGGAAATAATTAAATTCTTTCCAAGACCCTGACCCTTAACATCTTACTTTACCAGTGCAAATTGTTGATTCCAATACAAACTTTGTGTGAAACTTCAGATGGCCCGAACTTCTCAGCCAAACAGGAAAGCTGACAGAGGCTTCTGGGGGAAGGCCCCCCTCGACTGCCCACACCACCAAAGCTGGGAGTGGTGAGGTCTGGAGCAGGCTCCTGCCCCAGACACAGCTCTTGGCAGGAAGGTGCAAGGGCAGTGTGTGGGAGATGGACCTTCTGGCTAGTGCTGGCTGTAGTTCCAGCCATGGGCAAAGGTTTGGCAGCGTCAGAGGGAGATCCCTTCACCTCCAAAGCAGTTCTCCATGTGATGGGAGCACGAAGTGTCCAAGCGTGACTCCAAGGAGAGGTCCCGTTGGAGGCGTTTGGCTGACTCACCCCAAAGGGAGGCTTCGCGCTGGGGCGGCCGCCCGCACCAGGGGTCACGCCAGACGCAGCGGCAGCAGCACCGGGAGTTCCCGGGCCAGCGGCGGCTCCCGGCCGGCGCAGAGGGACCGGGGCCGAGCCCTCCCGCCCACCGCGACCCCGGACCGGCACCGCCCCCGGGGCGGGCCGAGCCCGGGGCCCGCCAGGACGCCCGCCCGCCCCGGACCCCTTCTCCTCTTCCTCCGCCTTCTCTTCCCGGAGCCATGGCCTCGCTGCTGTGCCTCAGCCTCCTCGCCGCCGCCGCGGCCGCCACGTCGCCGGACCGGCTGGTGCCGTTCGACCTGCTCTACGCGGACGGGGTGCGGGCGTACCTGGCGCGGGACTGGGCGCGGGCGGCCGAGCTGCTGCAGCGAGCCCTGCACAGCTACGCGGGGCTGCGGGCGGCCCGCCGCGCCTGCCGCGCCGCCTGCGCCCGCGAGGAGCCCTTGGGCGGCGGGCCCGGGCGCTGGGAGGCCGCGCTGCTCGGGCCGGTGCTGCAGCGAGCCGGCTGCCTGCAGCGCTGCCTCGGGCGGCGGCTGCGGCCCGCGCCCTCCGCGCACCGCGCCAGCCGTGCCGTGCGCCGCGACTTCGAGCGCAGGGAGCCCTACAACTACCTGCAGGTGGCCTTCTTCCAGGTGGGCACCGGGCCCCGGGCGCGGGGCCGCCCCGGCGGGGAGGGAGCTGCCGCCTCCGGGGGTGCTGTCGTGCACGGCGGGGGCCCGGCGTGGCGCGGCTCTCCGGGCAGCCGAGGGGGTGGACGCCTTTCCCTCAGCCTCGAGAAGAGACAAGCGAGAGGGAACCTTATTGATGCGCATCTAGGAGGGGGTGGTTGCCAAGGGAATGGAGCCAGGCTCTTCTCACTGGTGCCAGCCGCTACAAGAGGCAACAGGCAGAAACTGATGCGCAGGAGGTTCCACCTTTAGGTGGAATATTAGGAAGAACTTTACTATGCGGGTGACCGTGCACTGGAACAGATTGCCCAAAGCAGTTGTGGAATCTCCCTCACCGGAGACATTCCAAAACCATCTGGCTGCAATCTGGTGCCATGTGCTGTAGGACGACCCTGCTTGTGCAGGGAGGTTGGAGCAGATGACCCGCTGTGGTCTCTTCCAATCTGACCCATTCTGTAATTATGTGATCCTGTGAACCCGGGAAGCGGCTGAGGTGAGGGGTGGGTGTGAACAGCAGAGACCTGCAGGAACATGACAGACACTGCTGCCTTTTCTTCACAGCTGAAGAAGCTGGATCAGGCCGTGTCTGCCGCTCACACCTTCTTTGTCGCTAATCCCCAGCACCTCCAAATGCGGGAGGACATCGAGAAGTACCGGCGTATGTCAGGGGTGAAGTCAGACAGCTTCCAGGACCTGGAGGCCATTCCACACTGGGTGAGGGCTCAGTGCACAGCCATGCATGAACAGCTCTTATTCCACCCTGGGGACCGGTCTGGGACCCTGATCTATTCCCACACAAAGGCCATGGCTAGAGACAGGGCCCCCATACACAGATTGATAGAGAGATTTAGCCTGGAAGGGACCTTTAATGATCACCTAATCCAAGTCCCCTGCGAAAGGCAGGGACGCCTTCCACTAGACCAGGTTGCTCAAAGCCCTATCCCACCTGGCCTTGGAACACTTTGTGGGATGGGACATCCACGGCTTCTCTGGGCAGCCTGCTTCAGTGTCTCACTACAATCATCATAAAAGTGTCTTATCTCCAATCCAACAAATATTTTTTCTTCCATCAAAATGCTTTTTCAGTTTTAGTAACGTTGCCCCTTGTTCTGTCACTACAGACCTTTGGCAAAAGTCTTGCTCAGACCCCTTTGTGTCTGAAAGGCTGCAGGAAGGTCTTCCTGCAGCTTTCTATTCAAGGTGAGGACAAACCACTGCAAGTGTGATGGAGAGACTTCGATGACAGTTATTTGGCTTAAGTCTAGTCTTTGCTGTCACTGTGTGGTTGACTGTGCATGAGCAGGTGGGCCCCTGTATGTCAGCACCACCCTGTGAGCAACTCAGAAGTGTCGGGGCATCCTTTGGTGTCACCCACACTGATGAAGGGAGCTGGTTCTGTCCTTCACAGGAAGCATATGAGACTGGTGTGCAGCACTATGATGCAGATGAGTACCTGCAGGCCGTGGCCAGGCTGGAGGAGTCACTCTCAGAGGCACTGTCAGCACTGGAAGATTGTCGTGCCCTGTGTGAAGGGCCTTGGGAGGATGAGGATGAGGAGGAGAAAATGCAGCCTGGCCTGTATGAAGCCATTGCAGGTAGTGTTAGAGGCACAGAGGACTGGGTAGGAAGGCTGTGCTCCCCACCCTGGGCACATCCCATATCCCAGCACTCCTGCCTGGAAGAACTGTGGGCTACTGCCTTTCTTACTCCTGTCTTGCAGCCCATTACATTCAGGTTTTGAAGTGCAGGCAGCAGTGCGTCCTGGAAATTGCCACAAAGCCGGGGAGAATTTCTGCCACAGAAGATTTCATACCCTCTCATCTTGATTTACTGCAGTTTGCCTACAGCCAAGGTGAGCAGAAGCACAAACCAGCAGGTTATGCTGTGGCACCCCTACACTTGTCCTTTGCCTCTGATGCTGGAGGGCAGCTTGTCGTGGGAAAAGTAGCACACTGACCTGAGCTCTACTTCTATTTTCCCCCTAACTCTTCCCAGAACCTCTGTTCAAGTCTGTGGCCACCTTGGGAGATGTCCCTTGTGGTCTTCTTCAGTCTCATTGCCCAGGTTCTGTCATGGGAGGCTGTTCCCATGTCTTTCCTCCAGCACACTTTTTCAGGACTATTTTTTTCCAACTGTTTGCTGAGTGTTTTATCCCCTCCTTTTCAGTACATGGCTCCAGAGCAGGCTCCCACTTCCTGCCTAGAGGCTGCCCATGCATCTCACCTTAGCAGTGGTGTTCTTTCTGAGGCAGCCATACCTTCCCTCACTCAACTGATGGCCTGTCATGACACTGGTCATCCTGTCACTCTGTCGCTTTCACACATCCCTCAGCCCTTCTTTTGTATACCCCTGCTGCTCCCCACAGTGGCCCAGCTGTTTCTTATGTCCCCTGTCAGACCACTGGTAAAACTTTTATCTCAAGGAAGCTGCTAGACCCCTCATCATATCTGTTGCATGAGGGAAGTGGGACCATCTCTGTTTCAAAATATACTTACTTTTAATCTGTTTCTTCTAAACCAGCTCCCAATAAGTATTAAAGGCATGCCTGTTCTGCACCAGGTTCATTCCCATCATTGGGTGGAGGCCCTGCTAGGCAGGGGCTGATGTGTGCTTGGTGTAAGGGACACTGGGTGCTGCTGCTCTGTCCACATTCGCTGCTCAAGTCTTTCAGAAATGTGTGTTTGTTCTCTTCTGTCCCTGCCCAAGTTGGGAACCACACACGAGCTGCTGAATGTGCTGCTTCCTACTTGCTCTTCTATCCCTCGGATGAGCCCATGTTGGAGAAAATGAAACAGTATCGCACAGAACTGGGAGAGGATGCAGCTGTCACAGCCAGACAGGTAGTTACAACTCCAGCTCTGTCCTTTTCGGTCCTCCCCTGTCCCACAAGACAGGATCACAGTCCAGGAGAAAAAAGGGAAAGGTGCTTCACTGCAGACATGTGCCAAGGCCAGGACTGAAGAAACTGGAGTTTACTCCTAGTCTGTCACAGCCGGTGTCCTTTCAGGACAAAAACAGGCTTTAACTGTGCACGGCAGTGTGGTGGGGCAGGCTTCTGCCCTGGACAAGGGGTGGGGTTGTCTTTTGTGAGGTGGTTGTTTTACAGTCTCTTTGCTTCCACAGAGTATTCAGCATTATGTGCAGAGATCTTTGATGGAGAAGAAGTTAATTTATTATGCAGTGGAGCATCTGGGAGAAACTTTTAATGACCCTGTAAGTAACAGTATCGTCTTAATCTTCCTGCCATGGTTTCACCGCTTGTTCACAGTCACAGTTGTCAGAATTCACCTTGGTAGGCCATGATCCAGAAAGGATCAGATGCTGATGAGAAGGACCCCCAGGTCCTTATGAGGTGGATCTTTAAGTCCTTTCTGCTGCTCCAGGACTGAAGTTAATTTAAAGTTACTGCTGTGACCATATGCATTGACTCAGTTTGTCTGTCCTGAGAAGTGGGCCACAGTGGTTGGTCTGATACATACTGGAGAAGCAGTGCAAGGTTTGTTGTGTACTGAACCACCTGTGTTTGTTTCGTACAGGATCTTTGGACTCCAGATGAGCTGATTCCTGAAAACTTAAAAGAGAAATACAGGTAAGATTGGGCACGTCAGCTAGGACTGCAGTATAAGTAGGGGTGGTACAAAGAACAGTAATACGTAGAGAAATGGGCACAAAAGGAACTGGAAGGATGTGAAATGCTGCTACAGAGGAGGGTTGGGCATAGCTCTGTGTACTAACAGCCCTGGTCTCTGTTTTTTCCCTTGCTCCTGAGAGAGGATCAGGAGAAGCAAAAGCATGAAACTCTGGATGGGGAAGAGAGGGAGAAGAGGGGTGAGTAAAAGAGCTTGAAGGAGGTCATGGATGCATGCAGCCAGACTTACTCAGGCTAAGTGCTGTCTTCCATCCTCAGATATTTGAATGCTAGCATAGATGTAGACTGACTTGAATGGCTCAGCAAGTCTTCTCACTGTTCTTTTCCTCCTCTTTGATGCATGTGTAACCTTGCAAAATCTCAGTGCGTACATCTCTGGCACGCGAACTCAAAGGGCTCTGTGGCTGGAGAAGCTGAGAACAGCCTGAATGTGTGACAAGCCTGTGGACGTGCAGATCCCTGTTCAGTGTGCCAGGAGCCTCTACACCCAACCTGGTTCAGCTCCACCAGCCCAACTTCAATCAACATTTTTCTGAAAGGGACATGAAGGGAGGGGCCGGGAAATGGGAACTGGAAGCAGACAATGTAGCTTGGGGAAGTTTTTCACTGAAAAACAGGAGTCCAAAGGGTTTGTGGCTGAATGATACATACTGCAGAGTGCAGAGTCTCATGTTTTTGCTGGTCCTCTATTCTTATGTGTGGATACAGAGCCTCTTAAAAGGTTCTGTTGTGGAGTCCTTGCTTAAAATGACCCCAAGTGGTTCTCTGTTGTGGCACATGTGAGAACAGAGCCTTCTAAGGGGCTGAGTGCCTTGGCATTCCTCATCATCCAAAGGTCACAGGGGGTGGGGAAAAAAGGCTGAAGATCAAAAAGCTAAATTATCAGCTAATATCCAGTGCTTCTCTTTGGGGATGAAAAAGCAGAAGGGTTCACCAGAGATAATTCTGGGATAAGATGTTGATGGAAGATGATTGAAAGGAGGGTTGATGGAGATGTTTACCTGCTTCTTTTCTCCAGAGCCTCACTCCAGTAGGCTGGACCTGTTCTGCTGCTGCAATCCACAGTGCACTCAACTTCCCCCAGCTCCCTGCTGCTCTCCCAGCAAGTCTCAAGTCTCTGCTGGCTCCTGAAGCACGCACTGTAGGCCAGCTTCCCCAGCTGGTGCTCTGGTTCCCCTGAAGCATGTGAGGGGTCTGTGAGGAGCGGGCACTTCTGGGGAACTGTCCTGTCTTCTCAGACAATGTATAGTGTCTCTCCACTTCCTTATGCAGGCTGGGGGTTGGGTATCTGAGGGATTCTTGTCCAAAGCTTGCTCATGCCTATCTGTGCTTGCTTCTCAACAGGTCCTCTGCCTTTTGAGGGTATTGTTGTCACGATGGATTCCCAGCAGATGAATGGAACCCAGAGGGTTGTGTTTGACAGAGTGCTGACAGAGTCTGAGTGTAAGGACCTTCTCCGACTGACAAAGGTGAGGCCAGGATCCTGTAAGAACTCCTGTGTGTGCGCTTTCCTCCTCAGCAGGCAGAGCAGTAAGGTTTCCATGAAGGAGAGGTGGCATCCTAATGCATGTCACCTGTATCCTTGTATTCCAGGCAGCAGGGGAAGCAGGAGATGGATACCGGGCAAGACGGTCGCCTCATACCCCACACGAGAGATTCGAAGGGTTAACTGTTTTGAAGGCCATGCAGGTAAAATGCATCTGTGAGCCTGCTGCCTTCTTAATTGTCCAGAAAGAGAGTTTGCCACCTGAGTGTTTTCTTCTGTGAGTTGCACTCTGAGTGCTCAGTGTCATGGGTGCACTGTCTCCCCCACAACACTTGTGGTCTCTGTCCTGCTTCCTCCTCAATCACATTCAGGGATGTTGTACATGGAGGGCTTGACAAGTGCTTTCTCTTCTGTGAGGCAGGGTTTTGGGACTGCTTGTCCCTGTGAGGTAGCCTTACAGACATGCTTAGTTTAGAGTTGGAGAATAAATTAAGATAAAAGGAGCCTCTTGAGATCTCTAAGCTGACCTCCAGCTTGCAGCATGTCTAATTCCAAAGATAGATGAAATCTCTCAATTCTTTGCATAGGCAAGTTCTGAACATTTCCAAGGGTGGAGATTCTCCAGCCTCTCTGGGCACCTTTTTTGGTGCTGTACCAGTCTTGTGAGGGTGAAATATTTTTTCATATCTAGCCAAAATTTCCCTAGCTGCAGCTTTTGTGTGCTGCCTCTTATCAGTGTGTCTCTGAGGAGACAGTGTCTCCACCTCCTCTGTCACCCCCTTTTAGGTGACGGGAGTCTGTACTTAGATGTTCCTTTGTCCTTCTCTTCTCTAGACTGAAGAAAGCCAAATCTTTTGGCCTCAGTTTTTCTAAGTCATGTGTTCCAACATTCCTGTCATCTTCAGACTCTTCGTTCAAGATTCACTTCAGTCTCCTAATATCTCTTGTGTAGTGGGAGACCCAAAATGATGCAGCTTTCCAGATGTGGCTTCATGGGCCAAGGAGAAGGATATAATTGCTGTGCTGTGCAGTTTTACTCCTGAGATGTATTTAAATGAGAAAATGCGTTCTTTTCCTGCCTGAGTGACCACAGGACTTTACAAAGGTCTCTTCTTCTGTGCTGTGTACGTGTATCATTTCTTGGAGTGTCTTTGTAAGTATTGTAACAGACTTGTTTTTCACTTGTAGCTGGCCCAAAATGGGGACGTGGAATGGAGAGACGCCAAATTGCTTCTGCAGGCTAGTGAGAAATCTCAGAAAATCATAGAGTCCTATTTTACTTCTGGAAAGAAACTCCATTTTTCATTCACACACCTTGTGTGTCGCACAGCTATAGATGGTAAAGAACCTTTCATCCTGTTAGTCCCTGTCTCCCAGAGAGTCTGCTTACTCCCAGCCATGTGCTCTCAGGAGACTATTCTCCCTTTATTCTCACTGTATCCCTTTCTCTCTGCTTTATTCTTTCTTGAAACTGAAAATGCACGTATTCCTCTTTGTATATTTTCAGGGGAACAGGAAGGTCGCATGGATCTCAGCCATCCTGTCCATGCTGATAATTGTCTCTTGGATCCTGAGGGGCAAGAGTGCTGGAAAGAACCTCCTGCCTATGTGTACAGGGACTACAGGTAAGAGCAACTGTATTAGATCATGTGAAGATATCCCTGGCCCCATCAGAGGATGAGCTTAGCTTATAGAAACCAGGTGATGGTTGGCTCAGAGCCGTCCAGGACTGTAGCATCAGGCAGAAGGCTGCATCAGCAGCTTCAGAAGGAGGTGTGAAACACCTTCCCTAGGGTGGGAAGACCTGTCCTTTTTCCCTCCTTGCTTTGCACAGCCAGCTTTAACAGAGAACAGACCGAGGCTGGAAGGCTGCACAGATTAGAACCATGATATCAAACTGCTATCCTGTGGGTGTGTCACAGTGCTACAGCCCTTTTGACAGGCTATTTCTTGTAGTTGAGTTCCATCTTTTACAGAACTCTGTGAATTACAGGAAAGGGATAGTCAAGCTCCTTGGATTCCTTTTGTTTGAGCAGTCAGTGTACTTCAGTGACTATTCTCTCAAGATTCACTGCAAATACTTTGTGTTGGATTTTTACATCCACATGAGAGTTAATGTTTTTTCCAGCCTGTGGCAGGTTTTGTTACTCCTCTGTGAAAGAATCTGAAATATAGTTTAATGGTGATGCTAGTTGTTGCACACTGCAACCAGAGGAGGTCAGTTCACTACAGCTCATTCCTCCTACTTGCCATCTCATCCCTGAGCATCCAGAAATTTTACTTGTCTTTTCTTTGAATGGTAACTGCATCCAGAGCAGAAATCCCTAAGCAGCTATGATGAGGATATGAGGGAATTCCATTATCATTGAGTTGTTTCCCTTTGGATACTGGTGTTTACTTGGGATAACCAGATTGTACAGTTACCAGACTTTGTTGTGTAGCTAGTTAGATCTCTGTCCCTCCTGTGAGAAAGCCATCCTTCCCTTCATTGCTCACTGGGTTCTCTGAGTTCCACTTGAATGGATGGTGAAATAGCTTCCCAGAATCTATGCCACTGAGCTATTTTTGGGAGTATCCCTGTCCTCTTGGAGCTCAAGTTGTGACTGCCCAACCAGCTCAAGGGCTGAGCTCTTACAGTGTCCTTTTGAATGAAGTCCCTGTGTTCCAAACTTCCTGGGTATTTTCTGTGGATCTGTGCTATGGGCATTAATGATAATATTGAACAGGATTGAGCCCAGGGACCCATGAGTTCCAGTGATGCTTTGGGTGCCAGCAGTGCACTGATCCCTGTGTGCTGTTCATGCTCACCTTCACCTTCTCTTTTTGTTAGAAATTCCCCTCGTGGCACCATTCTGAGTCCTTTTACCAGAGTCCAAACTGCTGAGATTGAGCACGTAGTGTATCCCTGGAAAATCCACCATTTTTTCAAACACTATGTGGGTAGCCCAATCTACTTTTAGTACCCTCTTGTTACGTTTTAAGACCATTTTCCATTTACTTCTTGTCCTCCAATTACCCTTCTCAGAAATGGAGTCTAAAGCAGACTGTTGAGGTCAGGATAACACTTTATGCTTCAACCATTATCCCTACCTTCCTGTCCCTTTGGATGTGTGAGAGCTGTCCTTGCTTTTCTCCGCTTGTGTCACCACCCTGGCTTCACAGCCTTATTAAAACCCTGTGGCAGAAGAGCTATAACCTCCTGTGTTTCAATGCTGCTAATCCTCTCACTGCCCTTATGTCCTTAACATTGCTTCAGCAACCACGCTGTTGATTTGTATTTCTTCCTCTCAGTCCCATTAATTAAGAGCCTCTGTTGTTCCTCTGATGTTTTCTATCAGTTTAATTGAATACCACGAGGAACCCAGGTAGTTTGGGGTCCATTCTTTCACCTACTTGACTGTGGTCTCACCTGGGCTGTACAGTGGCCTCACTATTTCTTGTTTTGTATAACTTCAGTAAAGAAGTTTCTTGGCTTAGTTTTCTTTTCTATACTCACCAGGACTCTTTTTCATCATTCTAATTCTAATGTTACCCTGAAATCCCTTGGCTGTTAAGACACGGTTTTCTTTGCTGATCAGTTTCCTCTTCCAGGAGCTGGATTATTCCCAACCTTGAAACATAAACAACGGGTTAGAAACAAGGTCTTTCAAGCCCAGGGCATTGTCACAACGGTGCCATGGATGCATGCTGCAGGGGATTAAGAACAAACCAAAATAAAACGGGACAAGTGTGTAGAGCTAATTCCCTGGCATACTCTCCCAGCCTCCTGTGGCTTGCAGCTCAGGGACTCCCCTGGGCTAGGCACTGCTGTACTTAACACCCTCAGATGGATTCTCCTGCTAGCTGGTCTACTTGCTTTTGAGCTTGTGACAAGGAATGTGGGGAAGCCCCTGGGAGGAATACGCTTCACCATCCATATGTATTCTTTTTTTTTTTTGTCCACAGTGGCATTCTCTACCTCAATGATGACTTCCAAGGTGGGGGCCTTTTCTTCACTGAAATGGACACTGTGACTGTCACAGTAAGTCTGGGACTAGCCAAAAGAGGGAGAGAGGACTGAGGGCAAGACTTAGTCTGGGCAGGAGGAAATAGGTTGGTTATTGGATCCCACCACTCCAAAACAAATCCAGTGCTGGTGCAGTGGCAGATTCAAATAGGGGCAGCTAAAGGCAAATTGAGGCAAATCTCAGACAGGGGAGAGTTTGTCTCTTTCCTACCTGAAATTTTCCAGGCTCTTCCAGTCTGTGGGTGTCTGTGACCTTTGTCGTCCCACTGATTCTCTCTGTCCCTCTCCAAGGCCTGCCTTCCTCACAGACTGGCTGTAGATGCCTAGCAACTCTGCTCTTCCACGTTCCCAGAGGCAGTGTCACCTCTGTAGAAGGACTGTGTACTCCAGAGCAGGGGTCTGCTGGTTTCACAGTCTCTTGTCTCTCTCCTGGCAGGCCGAGGTGCATCCCAAGTGTGGGAGGCTGGTAGCCTTCAGCTCTGGCAAGGAGAACCCCCATGGCGTGTGGGCCGTGAGCCGCGGACGGCGCTGCGCCATTGCCCTCTGGTACACGCACTCCCAGGAGCACGCTGAGCAGGTGAAGGGCAAATAAATACAAGTACCTCCCAGTGAGATATAATCCCACTGAGGAGCAGCTTTTGGGCTTTGCCTTGGGGCAGGGCCTAGTGCAGCAGCTGGGGGTTGCCCTCTGACAAGGTGTCTGGTGGAGGGGCCAGCCTGTGATGGGTCCTGCAACAGGGGATTGGGCTCTGGAGTGGTTGGGTGGATGTGTTTTGCCGAGACCCCAGCAGGGAGGATTCACATCATTTCTGTCCCCATGGCTGCAGGAACGGGTGAAGGCAGAGGAGCTGATGGAGCAGAGGGCTGTGGAGAAGGACCAGCCCGATGGAGATAAACATCAGGGAACTGATGGCAGCAGCAGATCCTCCTCAGAATCTCGTGCTCCCAGCCGCGCAGCCAAGCCTGCAGATCAGAGACAGAAGCCTGGCTTGGACAGGAAGCAGCACCCCAAGGTGCTACGGGCCAGAGATGAGTTCTGAGTGCACGGGGCCCTGTGGACTGTCACACACCATGGCCTGGCAGGTCACGGGAGGACCGGGACCACAGAGGCCTGGAGCAGTGTATTAGTGTGGTAGAGCTGTAGTGATGGGGAGGGGTGCAGCTTTCTTCTCTGTGGTGTCCCAGCAGCTGAAAAACGGGAGAAGAGCACAGTGTGGAAGTCAGTGACACCAGGAGCTTTCTTCACTGCCTCACCGTGTTTGTCTCACTCAAAAGTAAGAAGACAAGGTTTTCTCACCCCGCTCCTCTCAGTGCCAACTTCTTGGCCATCCAGGGCTAAATCTGAGAGGGGAAGGAGGAGCCTGGAATCTTTTGGCGAGGGCTGTCTCACATTCAAGAACTCATAACTAAAGCCTTTGAATTTCCTAAGCACCTGCAAGCTCCAGAACCTCGCAAAGTGACCTGAGACAGGAAAGGTGAGAGACTGTGAATATATGAAATAAAAGCCAAATGCTGGACACAGATGTTGATGAGAGCTTGAGTCTGTATACCAGCGAGAGGTGCACACTTGTTTCTGATAGAAATTTAATTAACAAATGATGGGAGGGGATTGAGCCCTCAGTGAAAGATAACAGAGTATTCGCCCAGATGTCAGCTACTTTCAGTAAGGGAGAGCAGGAGAGAAAGCCAGCTGTGATGTGGCTAACATGGAAAGGGTGAGGAGTTCCTTTAAGAGAATGCACCGTACGCTCACATTTCCCTGTAGCAAGACCTCTCTTTTGTTTTGTTTTCATTTTTTTTCCCCCTCTCCATGCACTAAATTGTCCCTGAAAGCAGAAGAGAGATTTTGTTTATCATTTTCCACCCTGATAGAAAGACAATCTGCTGTCACTGCCCAGGGGATTAGTGTCCCGAGATGGGATTATATTGTAGCAAAATAGGAATTGAATGGGGTGGATATGGAGTATCTAAAAGAGCAGTGACCCTTTTCCTGGGAAGCATTAGAGCAAGAGATCAATCTGTGGTCATGACATACTCAAGCCTTGATGAGTTGTGCATGGAGACCCCAAGTGCAGTCCAAGTGGAAGGAATCTGTAGAGCCAGGGCCAGTGGTGTAAGAGGTGGGTGGGTGATCCCCTTGTCACTGTTGGCACAGGGCCCCTGCTCCATGGAAAGGGAAGTCCTCAATCTGAATCCTGGCACTTCTTAACACGTAGGCTTGGGAAACCTGTGTTGGCAACCCTTTTTGCTTCCCATCCACCCCAGGCTCACAGGGAAGAGTTTGATGGTGTGTGTTTCAAATTCCCTGTCTCCAGCGAGGGGCCTGTCACATCCCAGCGCCCACACGTCCATCCCGATGATCTGTGAGGGGTGCTGGGTGGTTCCTCTTTGATGAGGACATGTTGGGGGCTGAGGGGCCCGTGTCCACATCTCTGGCTTGCTCTGCCCAAAGGTGGCCTGGGTGATTAGACTGATGGCCTCCTGACGTCAGATGAGATCCGTTAAAAGGTATTTATCTCGGGCTTGGGCCAAAGCCGCGGGAGAGATTAAAAGAGATTGAGGCCAAGATAATCCCCTCGCAGCATCCCACTAAAGTGGCTGCCAAAAGGCATGCCACCGAATCTTTTGCCACCCCTGGCCCCTGTGCCCAGTTCTGTTTTCGCCATCCAGAGCCCCCGTTTGCGGTCGAGAGAGGGTGCGGTGGCCCTGCCATTGGTTTTCCCTTTGCAGGCCCTCTCTTGGTGGCATCATCCCTCTTTCCACCCTGCCCAGGACACAAGTGGCATGCTGTCCCTGGGAAAACAGGAATTCCTGTGACTGTGAGGTACAGCAAGCCCTGCCCCGGTGGCTGATAATCCTAGGCTGTTCTGGCTAATCTTCACTTTATTAGTTTGTTGCTGATATAAACAGAGGGAGTCAAATCCGCCTGGGATTGTTTCTTTCCCTTCAGGAGCAGTGTGCTACTCTCTCTTTTCACCCCTCCCCATCCACCTGCTTTGCATTACGTCCCAATCCGATTTCCCCAAGTCTCTGGTGTCTGATTTAATTTGCCTGACGCTGCTCCTGGAATCGGCCCTCCCCCAACCCCTCCCGTCCACAGCCTTCCTGCTCCCCATGGGGATATCAGTCCTGGGAGAGGCTGAGGAGCAGAGAGGGAGCAAGGGACTCGCTGGGTGGACCGACGGGACTGACTGGAGGCTGCAGAGGTACGAGGGGCTTCTGGGCAGCGAGGAGCCGTTCTCAGCAAGGGAGGCAGGCTGTGAGGGTCCCATCCAGAGGGGACTGCAACCCACCTTACTCTACAGATCCCGGTAAGCTTGCCGCCTTGCGGTGCCTGAGGTCACCTTGGTGAATCTGGCGTTTGGGACCCTGAGTTTCTTGGAGTGATTCTGTGGGGAGCCTTTGAGCAAGGGCTCATCCCATCAGAGGATGAGGGAGAGTAAGATCATGGAAAGGGGTTGGGGTTAGCATTGAGGTGTCTATACAGTGATGAGGCGGCTTTGCACTGGGATGGGGTTGCTTGTTCTCCGTTTGGCAGGTGAATCTCACCAGTTCCCAGTGGAATGGGAGCGTAACGCCTTTCCTGAGTGATCTGGCACTCACTGCCTGTACGCAGCCCTGCACCCCCAGTGCGCCCTGTGCACACCTCTTTGCAGCTGGCTGCTGTTCTGGGTGGACAAGGAGCCCTCAGAAAGCAATGAGCAGAGCAGGGTAATTTTACCCTGACCTTTGATCTCCATCACAGGAGAGAGGGATCATCTCTGTATCCGGCTCTGCAAGGAGCCCAGGGTCACCAGGGCGAGCCTGCGAAGCTAGTCAGGGATTACACAGAGACCCAGGGACACTGCCTATTCGAGTCCTTCTTGTACCTTTCCCATTCACAGCCCTCCCAACATTTCACAGAGCAACCACTCCTGCAGTGTGGGGGAAGCTACCCAGGAACAGATAATAAGAGGGCTCACTTTGCCTGTTTTTCCCACCCAATACTTGCACCCTTATCCCCGCCAGGTAGTGATGCAGGTGACTTGCAGGGACAGCCCCCAGGGAGCAAGCTGGGCCACCTCCATGACATCGTACAAGGGTTATGGCCACTGCTCTGAAAAGTCAGGGTGTGGCAGCAAAAGGCAGAAGATGGATGATTCCAGATCCCCCTCCGTCTTGCACCACAGCACAGGCATTTGATCTGCTATGAGCAGACACCAAAGGACTCAGGGTGGGTTTGGTTTCCCACAGACAGGAGTGCTGCAGCAAGAAATTTGTTAGAAAAGGCAGGGGGGGAAAGAACTGTCATGTTGGAGAGCAGAAGAAGTGAAATGTGATTTCAAAAGCCAAGAGGTGTGAACTGGATGGGCGTAGCTAAGGCAGAGCTCAGAACAGGGCTGGCATGAACAGACCAAGCCCAGGCTCTGTTTGGCTGTGCCATGCTTGCTCCTCCGGGGTGCTTGCAGGAGGCAAAACTCCGGAACTGGTGCCAGCTGGTGCCAAGGTCCTCCTGTCAGTAGCTCTGCTGAGAGTGATGAATTGTTTCAAGGGTACCTTAGGACTTGGTTTCCTTTATTGCTTAGCATTCACATGGAAGAGCCCTTACTTCCAGAAAGCACCAAGTGTGCAGCATTTAGAAGCCTTTCCCATTAAAACTAGCCTGGGCAACCGCCATGAGGAACTGTGAGCTGATCCTTAGATCCACAAGAAATGTGTATCCCTAAGGTCCTGCTGGTGAAGGCAGGAACATGCCTTGGCCAAACTCAGTTTCCCTTTCCTCCGTTCTTCCCCCATTTTGTTCCTTCCATTTCCTGCCCTAAATTTACATGATCATAATGAGCTGCTCTTTTGCACACCTGCCCTGGTCCTCCTGGGAGGCGGCTGCACTACACTGGGGATCGGGTAACTCACTCTCCACAAATTGCACTGGGATGTGACGGATGGAGGCGACAGGCAAAGATGGAGCTATTATTATCGCTCATCTGTGGCTCCTTGTCCTTCTGAGGCTGAGAACAATTCCCAGCTTCATTTAGAGTGTTCCCTCAGAGGGATTTAAAGGTTCGGACACAGTCCTGAGCTGCACCTTCTCTATATTTAGCCCTTTTTATCCGTCCTCGACATCCTGCCCCTGCTGTTTGATCTGCCTGTGGCTCCGAAAGCCCCTCATCTGGTTGTGCAGCTTTACAGAGCAGTGAACTGGCATTCCCTTGCTAGTGCCAGACCTGAGAAACAACCACAGAAGGGAGGAGAGTGGTAAAAAAGCAGGAGCAATGAAAGGAAGACAGGGATGCGACAGGTAATGAGGACATGTACAGCCAGCTTCACCTGGAGCAGAAATTGGAAGGAAGGGAGAACAAGGTTCCCATCTCTGTGAAGGTCTGGGCGGGCAAAACCAGAAGTCTACAAAGAAAAATTAGGGCAGGTGAATGGACAGTGATCTCATATAGCCAAAGGTGAATGAAATAACAGCCTGAAGAATTTGGGAACCAAGCAAAGGAGGCTGGAAGGGGAGAGTCAGAGGGAGGAGGTTACCTAGCAGGAAAAGGCAATCTGATGCTTAGGATTGATGTATCAGTCCCAAGGAACACTGGAAAAGGGCAAAATGTGGGCCACAATGGTAGGGCTGGCTGCACAGGGTGGCTGGAAGTTCGGGTGTGCCACTTGGTGTGCTGTAGGCTGTGAGCAGAGCTGGATGCAGCCTTGCAGCCTCGCTGTACGCTGAAACTGAGGGGCAAACACCACAGGACAAGGATGTGCAGCTGCAAGACCTTCCCCAGCATCTCCCCACTCTGTCAGTCAGCTGAGAGGTGGAGTGGAATGCCAGCCCTTTTCTAAAGGAAGGGAAGTGCATGAAGGTGGGTATTCATGGTCACTCAATGAGGTGCAACTGTGCATCCTTGCTGGGAGGAACCCCCTTATCGCTGCTCTGTTGGAATGAGAGAAGAAAAACCAGTGGAATGGGCCCAGCTCAGGTGCTGGCCTGTTCCTATCCTTCAGTGCAACTGAGGCTGGCAGCCCCAGGCCATGGCTGTGGCATGTTCCTCTGGGCCCTGGCAGTGCTGCCCTGGACTGCCCTCCTGCTCCCTGAGCATTTGCTGGGGCTGGAGCCCCATCCAGTGCATGGGCAGCAAGCAGGGAAGAGCAAGCAGTGCTGTGGCTCTATCCAGCCTTGCAGGCAGCAGAGACAAGTCTCTGTCTGCAGAATATATCCTGAAATAACTTCCTGCTGGGGTAGCCTCCCAGGAGCTAGGGGAAACCTGTATCTCCTTCTCTTTCCTACACTCAAAGCCATGCCTCAGGCATCATTGAACAAGCAAAAACTCACTGTGCCTGGGGGATCAAAGGAAAGCCGTGGAGATGTTCAAGGGAAGGAATCCTTGAAGGAAACTCAAAGTGCTCTATCAAGCAGCAGGCAGAGATGGGACTTGGGAGCTGTCTGGATGCGTTTGCCCACAGCAAGAGAGCAAGTCTGGCATGGAAGAACCCAAAGCCTCAGTGACCAGAGGAAATGAGGCCTTCAGGCAACAGGGATGGGAAGTGATGTGGCCCACAGGGACTAGGAGAAATTCTGCAGATGCTGCTGGAACATTTATTGGCTAACACCTAGAGCACATCTGGACACTCACATCTGTCCAGGTGAAATGTTGGAGCAATTAAAGATCACATTTGTCTACAAAAGTGGGAGATGCTAGAATCCCTGGTGAAGGTTTAAGTGCACATAACAAGAAAGAGAGAACAAAACAGAGATGTTGTATAATGATACAGTGCACCTGCATCTTGCATATGGATTACAGTTCTGGTTCCCTGCTCTCCCTGCAAAAATGTTATCATCTCTGCTCTGTAAACAACTGAAAAAAAAAATCTCATAGAACAACAGAGATAATAGGATGTAACAGCTTACACGGGAAGAATGACTAAGTTTGCTCTGCAGTCTGGAAAAGAGATGGAGTATGACAAAGATGTATGAAGTACCAAGTGATGCAGAGGCGAATAGAGACCAGTTATTTGCTGATTCTCCCAACTCAAAATATAGCCACTGTCAAGTGGAACTAGTGCCACCGGGAAGTGATAGAAGCAGGAACTTCTTTGCAGAGTCTGCCACCCAGCTGTGGAAATCATCACTATGGGGTACTGAGGAGGCTGAACTTGGCACGGGCACAAAGATGGTGTGGACAAATGAACGGAAGTCCATCAAGGACCTGCATACAGTAATGCTGCCCTAGCTTTGGACGTCAGTGAAAAGCTTGGGCTGGGCAAGTAGGAGATACACCCCTATTGGCTTATGTTATTCTTAGATCCTCCCCTAGGCATCCACCTTTCTTTTTATTTTGGTTTGGTTTGGTTGGTTTTGGTTTGGTTGGTTTTGGTTTGGTTTTTGATGTGAAAGTGGGAGGCAACCCTGAGAGAACACCTTAACAGCCCCATAGATTTCCTTGGTGGTCAGAGTTGGTGGGTCCTGCCTGGTGAGGCTTTGCTTAGGACAAACAGTAGGAAGTAGCCAATGAGCTCCCCCCAACAAGTTTCTTCCTCCTGGAGCCGAGCTGGACAGCTTGGCCATGAACAGGGAGAAGCTGATGAAGAGGACCCAGGGCTTGGAATGGAGAGGTTAAAAATGAGAGGACAACTGTGGCCAGAACCTCAGCAAGAGGCTCTGGACTTCTTTAGCTTCTGCACCTGTATGTGTAAGCAGAATCCAAGACAAAATGGACCTTTGACCAGGCCCAGCACAATCTTCCCAAATGCTAAGGGCTGAGCCAGATACAGCATGGTACTACCAAGTATTCAGCCAAGAAATGGTAAAGACACCTACATTTCCATAACTGAGCATTAGCTGTCCTATCTAACTCACACCCCTCTCCTTTGATTTGTCTCCCCAGAATCCAGGCTGCCCCACGTGGAGGAGCCACCCCTAGGTCAGAAAGATGGGGGAAATGGAACAGATGAAGCAGGAGGCTGAGCAGCTGAAGAAGCAGATTGCGGTAATGCTGGCAACAGTCATGAAACTGCTGAGAGCGTGTCTACCCCCCCCGCCACTGCATGCCCAAACTTTCCTCCTCAGCCACAAGCTGGAGTTGGGCTTTCTCCATCTACATACTAGTAGCCCTCTGCAGCTCTCCACAGCCCTTCAAATGCTGATGGAGATCTTCACACTATGGTGGGGGGAAGAGTGGTAGAGGAAGGGAGAGAAGGGGGGACAGGGGTCCCAAGAGTGTAGTGAACCTCCAGGATCTCCTCTGTCTGTGAGACAGCTGGTGTTCTGTCAGGTGGGAGGGTCTATGGAAAGGGTAAAGGACAGTGAACTGGATGCTGAGCAAATTTTGTCTCCCCTTCCCTACATTTGGCTGGTGTCAAGGTGCCCTAATCAAGACCAGGATCTCCCTGGGCTGGCCACAATCCAAACAAAACAAAGCCATAGTTCCTACTTCTAGTAACCCCCAGGCTATGACCCCAAATTTCACTTGTCATTGCCTTCCCCACACGTCTTTAACTGGTCTCATCTGCTCTTGTCTCTTCTCCAGGATGCCCGGAAAGCCTGTGCAGACACAACACTTGCTCAGGTAAGGGGCAGGGCTGGCTGGGCAAGCTAGCACCGCTTTGAGGGGGCTTTTGTCCAGTCAGCGAGGAGTTAGGAGGCAGAGATGCAAAAAGCAGTAAAGCTCCTGGTAGACCAAGATAAATTCTCTCCCTTCCACCACTCTTCCTTTAGATTGTGTCTGGAATGGAGGTTGTTGGACGCATCCAGATGCGGACCCGAAGGACCCTGCGGGGACACCTGGCCAAGATCTACGCCTTGCACTGGTCCACGGACTCCAAGTGAGAGCGCTGCTGCTGCTCTGCTGGGTGCAGGGCAGCACTTGGGTGTGATGGGCTGGAAGGCTCTGATGGGAAGAAAGCTACTAACATGATCTTGTTCCTTTCTCACAGACTTATGGTCAGTGCCTCACAAGATGGGAAACTGATTGTGTGGGACACATACACAACTAACAAGGTAGGAGTCAGGTGGCTGCAAACCAGGATGCTGGAGCAGGTCTCCTTGTAGCTGGTGTCCTTGACCTGTTTTCTCTGCTGCTGAGAGTCCTGACACGGTTTCTGGTCCTCCAGGTTCATGCCATCCCCTTGCGTTCCTCCTGGGTCATGACCTGTGCCTATGCCCCCTCTGGCAATTTTGTGGCCTGTGGAGGCCTTGACAACATGTGCTCCATCTACAGCCTCAAGTCTCGTGAAGGCAACGTCAAAGTGAGCAGGGAGCTCTCAGCTCATACAGGTGTGTGCTCTGCCTGCCTGCAGCTGGGTGCCCCCTGCTTCCAAACTTCACCCTTCTATCCCTGCCCCTTTTCTCATATTTGCTTGTTCCCGCTTCCCAGGATACCTCTCCTGCTGCCGATTTCTTGATGACAACAATATTGTGACTAGCTCTGGAGATACCACATGGTGAGTGCTCTCTCCTGCATCCTAGTGACATGACCTCTGCTCTTAACACAGCAACAAGTGCAGTCCTTCTCCTCTTCAGCACTCCACTTTCTAAGGAGGAATTGCTCCTCCATGGGGAGGCCACATGGAGCACCTTAGGAAGCCTGATCCATTCTTCCTCCCTTGGCAGAACAGATGTTTCTTTTCCCAGCTGAAGCCAGGTCAAGCAGTAGGGCTCATGTCAACAGTTCTCACAAAGAACAGTGTCATTTATACCGGGACAGAAGGTGTTTTATGTGGAGTACGAATACGTTCTCCGTACGTTATATAGTTGCCCTCTGTGCAAGGGACACTGCAGAGGCAGTGCCTGGATCCTTTGGTTCCTGGTTCTCAGGAACCGTGCTGTGACTCTGAACCATCCTGAGTCTTTATTCACCCCACCCCATCCCAATAACTGCTTTGGAAGAACCTCTTGCCCAAGGACAAGTGGCATTTCCATCAGAGATCAGGGTTACACAGGGTTTGCTTGCCTGAATGTGGAGTGGGATCCCACTGAACAAGAGCTTTGCATCTTACAAGCGTGGACACGGAAGACCTTTTCCAGCTGTTTGCTATTTTTTGCTGGTTTTGTCCCTCTTACTGTCTCTCAGTATTCCCTTCAGCTGTTACACTTATGGGAATATGCCAAACCTCACACACCCCCAGCCTTAGTCTAACTCTGTTCTGGCAAAGGTATTGCCAACAACAGCTGTGAAGATATCTCTTGTTGTATACAGCTGACTCCAGGGATGCGCTCACCCATTTTCCCCTGCTGTAGAGACAGCTTCCCTCCTTTTGTTTGTGAGTGGGACAGCTCTTCAGCCTGGCTGTAGGTCTGCTCTGCCTGGGCTGGCTCTGAGATGTTCTCTTCTCTTCTCTTCTCTCCTCTCCCCTCCTGCAGTGCGCTCTGGGACATTGAGACGGGGCAGCAGAAGACTGTGTTCATTGGTCACACTGGAGACTGCATGAGCTTGGCTGTCTCCCCTGACTTCAAACTCTTCGTGTCTGGGGCTTGTGATGCTACTGCCAAACTGTGGGACGTGCGGGAGGGCTCCTGCCGTCAGACCTTCTCAGGGCACGAGTCCGACATCAACGCCATCTCCGTACGTATGCTGTCTGCACAGTGCTGGGGAGGAAAATGGGGCGTGGAACAGCTCCGAAACAGCCTTGGGACCAGGGTGAAAGAAGCTGTCACAGTCATGAGGGTAACAAGGGTCTTAGACCTTGCCTGAAGCAGGGAGTGCCCAAGTTCGCTGAAGTTTGGAGGAGGGTTCTCCCCAGGCACCAAAGCATTCAGGTCCTGGACAGGCAGCACACTATGGTCTGTGGAGCTGAGCACCCTGACACAGGTGCTGGTCCAGCTCTGCTCACAGCAGCTGTTGGGAACTGTGGTTCAGGCACGCTCCAGCAGCCCTGGTGCAACACACAAGTGAGGCAGCAGGAGCACCTAACTCAGCTGAGGTCGGCTCCAGACAGAAGAGGTGGGGACTTGGGATCACAGGGAGATCTTCTGAAGATTAAATTTTCATGGGATGCAGCTCCCTCAGAGCTGCAGAGATGGTAGGACAAGAAACATGCCAGACTAATCCTTGTAGCTAACCAAATGAGCCTGCCAGCTTCCTGCCGTCTGCTGCTCAAACCACCCTTCACTGACATCAATTAGTAAAAGCTTTCTCAGTTGTCCCATGGCTATCTTGCCAGCCACACGGTTTTCTGCCATACCTGCTCCTGAGGAGCCCTTTATTTACCCCTCAGAGCAAGACCACAGAAAAAAAGCATGTATGAGAAGGCTGGGATATGAGGATCAGACAGAGGAAGGCTCTGGTAGCCAGAATTATGTCAGACCTCAGCTGGGGGATAATGGGTGGACACTTGTCAAGGCCCAACCTAACCGCTGGAGTTAAAATAATCCTTCCCCAAGCACTGAGATATCTTGCAACAGCTCTAGCCCCTTAAGCCATTTGTTTTCTTGGAGTGGAAGGGGTTTATTAGGCCTTATGAGAAGTATCAGTCTCCCCCTTCAGCAGACTCAAATTTTATGATCCAGTGTTTGGTCCCACCAGGCTTTCCTGCCTCCATGGCTTCCTGGTGGTTAGCAGGGGGGATGACAAGTTGAAGAATTCCATAGGGATCTGAAGAAAACCTCATTAAGACACAGTGTGTGCCCTCTCCAGTTCTTCCCTAACGGCGAAGCCATCTGCACCGGCTCCGACGATGCCACCTGCCGCCTCTTCGACCTGCGGGCGGACCAGGAGCTCATCATGTACTCCCACGAGACCATCATCTGCGGAATCACCTCCATCGCCCTCTCCCGCAGCGGGCGGCTCTTGTTTGCTGGCTACGACGACTTCAACTGCAACATCTGGGACTCCCTGAAAGCAGAGCGTGTGGGTGAGTGGCTCCTTGAAGTTCCTCTTCCACTCCCTGCAAGGCCTCCTGTCCCTGTCCTAGGGATAATAAGGCACTTATTTTTTCTAAATGGAAGACATCCTGTACTGACTGAAACCCAGCAAAGCTCCCTTGCACTCAGGGAGCACACCAGAACAAGGACAACTCTCACTGCCATGGAAGAGCTACTGTTTGTTTTTAATGTTAAGGAAGTCAAGCCTTCAAAGAACATTGTTTCAAGGGGAAGAAGAAGGTTCTTATTAGCTAAAACTGCTCACAGCCACCAATAGAATATCCTACTTTCTCCTAGCCTGCAGTTTGCCTGTTCCAGGTACTCACAGTGCCACTTGGTGGCCAGGCACCAAGCCAAGTGTGCACCTGGGCTTCCATCCAACATCTTCGGGCACTCTGTGATGCTCATACACAGAACACACAGCATTTTTCTTTTCAGATGTGGCCCCTACCCTCTGAAAAGTCATGAAACACAGCCCACCAACAGCATTGCTGTTTCTCAGCCTTATCAAGGCTCCCATCCAACCTTAGTCTTACCATCACTCCAGGGTGAAAGCAGTTATATGAGGACTCAGCTGGCCATACCTTCCCAAGAACCCTCTGGCCGGGCCTGCAGGTGGTGGTTGTGTGGCACGCGCAAAAGTTCTTCTGTGCGTTTGTTCCTATTCGCCGCTTACGGACCGTGAGGGGTCGTGCAGGAGCAGACAGGGCCATGCACAGCATGTAGGCACAGCCTGTGACGTGTGTCCTCGGCAGGGCCAGCCCCGTCACCTCTCATGGGCTCCCCTTCACTCCCTGACCTCTCTTCTTTGCCACCACAGGAATCCTTTCTGGCCACGACAACAGAGTGAGCTGCCTGGGGGTGACGGCGGATGGCATGGCTGTTGCCACTGGCTCCTGGGACAGTTTCCTCAAGATTTGGAACTGAGGACACCAGCACTGAGGAAGAGCAGCGAAAGCACAACCCACAGCCTGAGCAAAACAGCATCATCAGATGAGCACAACAGAAAAGCCTACCTACCACTCCCACTTGTCTCTAGACACAGGTCACTTGTAGGAGTCTCCCAGAGTGAAAGGGAAAGGAGATCAGGGAGGAGCAGGGGGAGCTGGGGAGCAAGAGCACATGCACTGGCCCTTCTCTCCACCTCTAAACAGCAGTTTCCAGCCTTGTGCAGGCTTGAAGACCTGTTCTTTATGTCTCAGGACTTTGCAGTACAATTCAGACACCCTGCACCTTTCTTCAAACACCTCTACCCACACTGAAACCCATCCTCTTCCTTCAAAAGACCCCTCATGCAACACCCATCCCAGACTAAGCTCTCTCCCTGCTTTAACTCTGCCTAACTTCTCTGTGCAGCTGTCCTGTATCCATGCAGACAGCCCCAGAGACACACTGGATTTGAGATTTCTATGGCACCACCTCAAACATAAAGCTGGTGTAAATTTGGCTCATTTCCATGGGGGACCACTTAGCTTGCGTCCTATCTATGCAGAAGGAGGGGAAAGGCAGCCTTCAGACCTGCCAGAATAGCAGGGAATACATTTATTCTTCTTAGTTCAAGTCTTATCTATGCATAAATGGCAGAAAGGTTGCCCTCAAGACCTGCCAGAATATCAGGAAATATTATATTTATTATTTATTGTCTGCTTCTTGCTGTTCCTTCCCTCTTTGCCTCACTCCTGCACTGTGTGGTGACCCTATCTAACCAGTAGCCATCGGCCCAGGTTTTCAAGTCTGTTTAGATCTTCATAGCCCAGGCAAATAAAGCTCACAGAAGCACTGCAGGCTGTGTTCTTTCCAGCATTGCAATGAGCTACTGCAAACACAACTCCTTTCCTGTGAATATTGCCTGCTGGTCTCAACCAGTCACCACCTCATCCACAGACCATGCTTCAGCTCACAGTCTCCAGGGGAGGGTGTTCCTCAAAAGTTTTAGTTGAGAAGAGGCTGAAGTTGAGAAAGAAAGCTGAAAGTGCATCCTTTCAAAGCTTGGACATTTTAGCTCAGTTACAGGACACAGCCATTTTACTCAGCCCCTATTTCACTTGTTGGCTCAGAGAAACATCCTGGGGGTCCCAAGGCTGAGAGGGAGAGCTGGGGATCAACACGGTCAATATTAACAGGCAATACTATCTGATGTTAGTTTGGATCTCAGCCTCACGACAGACTCTTGCACAACTCCGTTTCAGCTCAGAGCAGGAGCAGTACAACTCCAGAGGTGACACTGGACATACATCAGTTTCCTGCAGGGAGCTGCAGCTTCCCAGCTAGCGCTGCTGTACATGGATTCAAGGCTGTACCCTTCAGCATGCTCCAGGCAGGGGACAAGGCAGTTTTAATACTAATGGAAGGCTGAACTATTTGTTCCTGAACCCTTGTTCCAAAGAAAATACTGTGCTGGGCAAGCACAATATCAGGACATACAGTCAGCAAAGGTTGAACACAAATTTATTTACTAGAGATAAAAACTCTATGGAAAAAATCAATACAGCTGATATACAATAAAAGAGATAAAGTCTGTGCTGTACATAAAACACAACAAACTAGGAAGAGGAGGGAGAGATCTTTCCCCAGCAGGTAGGCTGAGAAATGTGACCACTTCTTTGGGGTTTCAGTCTATTGTAGGATTTCTCCCCACTAGAAAATTCTCAAAACATAGGAGCAAATTATAGCAAGATCCTGAAAAAAGAAGTGTCTAGTTCTCCACAAAAGGACACTGTTGGTTCTCTTTGTTCAAGTCACTCCAAGCACAGTTCCCAGATTTAAGGCTCCTGCTCTGATCCACTTCCTTCTTCTCCCCAAGGTTCTCTCCCAAAACGTGCCTCTTGCCCTAGAGAAATAAAAAACCCAAACATAGAGTGTAAAACACAAGTTAATTGCAGGCTATTTAATTCTCAGCAGAATATGTAGCCTATTTTCAGGCCATTCAGCTTGGACTCACTGTGACAATATACAAGAGTGACATTTTTCTACAGCCTAAAGAGAAAGAATGCACTGAAATGGGAAATTTCATTGTAAGGCCAAAGACAGACATTGAACAAAACTCAAAGGCATTTAGTGGCAAGACTGACCCACAGAAAAACACTTGTGAAGTTGCTAGTCTCTGCAGGCCTAGGAGGCCACAATTCTAAACCGGGACCCTACAAGACACAGAAATTGAAGGCTTTTTTTTCCCAGCTCAATCTCCCTCCCTTAGTATGACCATTAAGCTTTACCTGGCGAGCGGCAGGAGCACTGGGAGAATTATCGTCTTGTAGAACACTGAGGGGAGAGCGGCCAGTTCCTCCAGATGTTGCCATGAATTTGTTGTTGGGCTTGTGTCTTATGGGCTTGCTCACTAGTTGAGGAAACACATCAGCGCATCACAACAAGGCTCAAAGGTCCCAGATTTAAAATGCCTCCTGGCCTTTATCAAAGACTTACCCAGGGGCTTTGAGGCAAAGGGATCACAGAAAGGTTGATACTGGAAGTGAACTCTATAGGACCTACTCCAGCAAGACCACCTAGAGCCCATAGTCCAGGACCGTGTCCAGGTGTCTCTCAACTATCTTAAAAAATAGAGATTCTGCAACCTTTCAGAGCAAACTGCTGCTGTGCTTGGTCACCCTCACAGTGGAAAAAGTGTTTCCTGATGTTCAGGGCTTCCTGTGTACTATTCTGTCCCCTTTTCCTCTGGTGACATCATTGGGCATGACTGGAAAGAGCCTGGCTCTCCCTCCCTTCCTTATACCCTTCCTTCAGGTATGTGTATCTATTAATAAGATACCCCTGGGCGTTTTCCTCTCCAGGTTGAACAGTCCCAATTCTCAGCTGCTCCTCTGAGGAGTGGTGCTCAGCACAGAGCTTTCTGAAGCAGTCTGTATCAAAGTCTCTCGGCAATGCTCAACCATAGCACAGAGATGTGCTGTCCACCTTTGCTCCATAGCTCTTCCCGAGGAGAAACTGTAAGGTCCCTCTGGAAGAGGTCTCCAGTCACAAACCCATCTCAAAGAGGGGAAGAGTTGTTGTATACCTTTTGATTTTGAGCACAGGTTGAAAATAATTTCTCGACTCTGAACAGAAATCGGTTTGATAACCGAAGGGGTCCCCTGGCTGCAGAGGCTCCAGGCGGTGGGACACAGCCGAACTGGGGAGTAGGGACAGGCTCTATCGGGGAGCAAGCCTGGAGAAGGCACCCGAAGAACCAGATTGTGCCGAGAGCCCCGACTTGCTCGCAGCCCCTCCGGCGCAGCTCTCCCTATGGCCCCCACACCGAGCACTTACCCGAGGGGAGGCCGTGCCCGGCAGGGCGGCCGGGCCGGGCCGTGCTGGGAGAGGGCGGCCTCTCCGCCGCTTCTCCCGCGGGCGGGGAGCCCCGCCGGGCCGGTTCCTCCGCGGGGCCGGCCGCTCCCTGAGGCGCCGGCTCCGGGGTCGCGCTCTCGGCCCCGAAGGCCTCGCTGAGCTGCTTCACCAGGCGGTCCACGCTGTCTGCCGGGAACGGAGAGGGACGGGGTGAGCCTCTAAGCCAGGCAACCCCTCAACCCGCCCAGTCACGGCGCTTTCACTCACCACTCGACACGGCTCTCATGGGCGTGCGGGAAATACCGGGCGTGGGTGACCGTGGGTCCCGCTCCTGGCCGGTGCCCGCCGGCAGCTCGGCGGGGCTGGGCTGCGGGCTGCCCGCCGGGGAGCTCACCACCTGCGGAGAGGGCAGCCGTGGGGACGGCGGGCCGGAGCCACGCAGGGGGAAGCGGCGGCGGGAGGGCGCCTACCTCTATGGGGGTGCGCAGGATGCCGGCGGTGGGGGAGCGGGGGTCGCTGACGTGTGCCAGGAGCTTGTTGCGGGGCGCGACCGGGGTGGCGGGGGCGCTGCCGGAGGCCCCCATGGCGGCGGCAGCCACACTGCGCCCCTGCCCCGCCGAACGCACCGTTCGAATCTCCCGCGCGCCGGGCGGTGCAGCCGCCCATTGGCCGCTCCGCGGGGGCGGGGCTCACCGCGCCACGCCCCCCCCCCCGCCCCGCCGGCCCGTCTGCTGCGCAGTCCCCGCCCGTCACGTCCCGCCTCGTCCCGCTGTCAATCTTCGGGGACAGACCCGCCCCCTCCCCCCTCACTACACTCTTATTGGCCGAGGAGCCCGGCATCGCCTCCCGCGATGGCCGGAGAGCGGTAGCGATTGGGCGCGCCGCCGAGTCGGCACGGCGAGTCCGGCCTCCGGCCTCGCTGCTGATTGGCTGGGACCCGCCTGACCGCGCTGGGCTGCGATTGGGTGGGGCGGGGCTGTAGGCGGTGCCGCGGTGAGCCGCTGTCATGGCGGAGCTGAGCGAGGCGCTGCTGTCGGTGTTGCCGTCCATCCGGGTGCCCAAGGCCGGCGACCGCGTCCACAAGGACGAGTGCGCCTTCTCCTTCGACACGCCGGTAAGCGCGCCCCGCCGCCGGCTCGCCCGCCCGCCCGGGCTGCTCCCGCCGCGGCCGGCTTCCACCCCGCCGCCAGCCGGGGCGCCTCCCGCGCGGGGCCTCACGGGATTTGTGGTTCCCCGATGGCTGCGGCGGCCGCTCCCGGGCGGCGCGCAGGGCCCTCGCGGACTACTGCGCCCGGCGTGCCCCGCGGCGCGCCCCGCCCGCCCGCGGTGCGCTGGGGGCTGTAGTTCTGGGGCCGGGGCGGGCGTGGGCAGGGCGCTCGCCCCGATCAGCAGCGGCCCGGCCCGCCGGCAGCCCCTGGAGAAGGAGTGCCCTCGGCCCGAACCCTCTGTGTGGGGCCTCGCCAGGACTTGTAGTCCGGCGGGGGGCGGGGGGTCGGGCGCGTCCCCCGACCCGCCCTCGGCGGCAGAGGGGCGGGCCGGGGGTCCCGCCCTGCCCGGGTCTGAGCCACCCCCCCCGGCCTCGCCGCGCGGCGTGGCCCGGCAGGCGGGGGGCGAGGCGGTGCTGTGTCATTAAGATGGCAGTGGTC